AAAGAAAGAAAGAAAGAAAGAAAGAAAGAAAGAAAGAAAGAAAATCTGGTTTGTATTAAGGGGAGATCTAAAGAGGGGACGGGAAGAGGCGAAGTTCCCAGGCCTGCCTGCCTGTCTTTTCCGGCCCTGGCTAAATTATCGACTTGGGGCAGGCGCGCCAGCGTTTGTCACCTCCTTAAGCAGAAAGTTATTTACAATCGGGATGCGAGCTGTTTATTCAAGAGGCCTGGCCTCCTCTCGCTGGCCGCTCGATCTCTTCCACTCGCATTCTTCCTTTTGGGGGAAACGGGAAGGGAAGGGCACCCCCCTAACTTGCTCTCTTCTTCCCCTCCACACACACACACACACACACACACACACAGAGAGAGAGAGAGAGACCTTCCGCTAAGGGTCTCGCCCTCTCCAGCGAGCCTGCCCGCTTTAAAAAAAATAAAATAAAATCCCATTTATTTACCTCTAAATAAATCTCTCCCGCCGACGCCAAACCCGTCCAGGCGGATCCCCCTCGCCCTACAGTTCCGCTAGAATAACTCTAAGGTAAAAGGTGTTTCACGCACGATTTTTCTCCCCTATACCCCCCCCCCCCCACCCAAGAAAACGATCGACTCGAAAAACTCTTACATTTGCAGAGGAGAAAGTATTTTGGGGGCGGGGGGAAGCGGTCGCAGACAGAAGAAAAAAAAATCTGGCCTGTGAGGGTTTTTTGTTTGTTTGTTTGTTTGCAAAGGACCAGGTATAAAAACCTTTCTCTACCTTTCTCTGGGCATCTGCACTGTGAGAAGTTTAATAGACCTGGGTGGGTTGGAGCGGTGGGCGGACAGAAAAGAAGAAGGAAAAATTAGAATTGTCTGGTTTAAATGAAGGGGGAGAGGGAAGGGATGGTTCCGCTGCCCAGTTTCAGGTAATCTTGTGCAGGGGGGGGGGGGGGGGGGGGGGGAGAGAAACAGCCCAAGACCTGAGGAAGTATGGTAAGTTGACCCAAAATCTCACCGCCCGAAAATAAGAGGCCACCAACTTAGCCAAGAGACTGCTAAGTTCATCCTAGGAAGCCAAGATACAATGCAAATCGAGCATTGAGGATGGGTGGCTGGAGGGAGGGGGGGGGGAAGAGGGGAGAGAGGCGAGCCTCATTCTTCTCTCTGAAGAGAGGACGCAGGTCTCGCACCCTTCTAATGAGCATCTTTCGTTCAGAGACGGGGATATCATCACCCAACCACACACACACACACACACCCACACACACCCCGGGCCTTAGTGTCCTCCGCGTTTGCAATTTTCTTTTCAAAGATCGCCCGCTCTGATGCTTGCCTTGAGCTAAAACGCCCTTTTCTTGGCAGCGCGGGCGGGGGTCCTGACCCTTTTCCTGCACCCCCTTCTTTAAAAAAAAAAAAAAAAGCCACCCAAAGCCCAGGGTCCAGGGTGCAGCTTCCCGCCCCCCCTTCCTTTAAGACGTCCTCCCATCGAAAGGTACAACAAAAATATTCCCCCCTAAAAAAGCGCGCTCGCACCAACCCTGCAACAACCCGAAGAGAGAAGATGCTAAATATCTGGGGAGGGGGCGGAATCGGGAAGGAGGGAAGGAAGGAAGGAAAGCCACAGAGGCTTCCCTCTTTCATGCCGGGTGCCGGTAGTAAGAAAACCAAGACTCGGGAGACGGGAGGGGGGGACGGAGGGACTCGGTTTGATCAAAACGCCGTAAATCCGCCTGCTTTCTACCACCCCCATTCAGCGGCGCAAAGAAGGCCTCTCTCGGAATTTCTTTCCGGGACCCGAAATAACAGAAGGGATATAAAGGAGTTAAGTGGCAAGGCAAGAGCGAAGGGGCATCTCTAAAGCGCAACCTACCTCCTCCCCCCCCCCCCCCCCCACACACACACCCCGCCGTCCCCGCTTCATCCCTGGGATGGGGTGGCTGGTGGCTTTGGCTATTCACGCCCTCCCAAATTGGGAAAGGCAGGCTCTCTCGCAGCGGAGTCCTCCAAAGGGTTGGGGGGGGGAGAAGGAACGCCCCCAGCCTCTTTTTTCCCACCCCGAGCGGGCTTGCAAACAGCCGCCGCCGCCTTCGCTTGCTCCCAGGCCTCGCTCACCCATCTCCAACTGGCCTGGCTGGCCTGGGCTCTAAAGTTGGCTCGCCACGGCTTGCAGGTCCCAGCTTGGAGGCCCATCCCCGCCCCGGGAAGGGGGAAAGCCCCCCCCCCCCCCCCACACACACACCCCGGGCCCTCCTTTCGGCGAGGAGCAGGCGAACGCCAAGACCAGCGGCTCTATCTGCCGCCGGCTTTCTCTCTTCTCTCGGCAGACCTGCGGGCTCTTTCTGTGCAAGGCCCTTGGGGGACGGGAGACGCCATGTTGGGGGCAGGTTTTTTTTCTTTCTTCTTTTTTTTTTCACATGGCGGGGGTGTTCGCACCGCTCCGCTTTCCACTCCCGAGACTCCCACAAGCCCGGCTCCTGAAAGGATGCCCCGAGCGCTCGACCCCACCAGCGAGGTCAAGTTGCCCGAAGACGCCTTTGAAACTCCTAAGCGCCAGGCCCGCAAAGTGGGAGGTGTGTGTGTGTGTGTGTGTGTGTGTGGAGAGAGGGGGGAAGTGCTTGGGCAAGACGCTTTCCCCCTTCCCCTGACCTTTCTGCTTTAGCGGGAGGGGATACTGAGCTCTCCCGGATGGGGCCAAAGGGAAAGGGATCCGAATGTGGGGGCCGTAGGGAGGAAGAACAAGTGCGAAATGAGGGGTGGGTTTTTTCCCCCAGATCTCTGTTATGGAGGAGGAGGAGGAGGAGGAAGAGGAAGAGGAAGAGGAAGAGGAAGAGGAAGAGGAAGAGGA